GTATAAATTTTTCAGTAATTTTCCTATCATAGTATCGGATTGTCTAGAAGTGGATGTAGAAAATTATGTTTATCATATCAATGTAATTATAATATTTATTTAGGAGACAAGTTGTATTCTTCTAACACTGTTGCAGGTTGGTAACAAGTGAAGTAATGTGTTAAGGATAACATTTGTTATTCATTGTCCATTTGTTTTTAGTACAATGTATTCGATAATTATTATGTCAATTCACTGGATCATATCAGTTGTATTAATTGAAATAGTATTAATTATGTCTGTTACTCTTCGTGGAGAAGCATAGACCTCTCACTAGGATTCATCAACCAATTCTGTCCTGGGCGCTCCTTTCCAGTTGTTTCCGATTGCTATTCTTTCTCTTGATTTCTGCCTCCAATTCCCAACGCAGTATGTTCTTGGATCGTCCTCTTTTCCTTTTTCCATGAGAATTTTAGGTCAGGATTCGCCTCACGATGCAGTCTGATGATTCCCACAATGTATGTCGTACCACCTCCAGTGCCTTTTCCTGATTTCCTCTTCAGATGGAGGCTGGTTTGTTCTCTCCTACAGTAGGTTGTTGCTGATGGTATATAGTCAAAGTACATTCAGCATATTGAGTAGACAATTATTTAAAAATACTTGTACAGTTTGATAGTTGAAGTTGTTCTCCATTTTCCTGCTCCATACAATAGAACCGTCTTGACGTTCGCACTGAAGATTGTGACTGGTGTTGGCTTACAGAAAGTTGTTTTGAGTTCCATATGTTCTTCGACTGTAGGAATGGTGTCCTTTCCTTGCCATTCCTTACCCTTGCGTCTGTATCTGATACTCCTTGTTCATCGATGATGCTGTCCAGTTACGTGAAAGTTTCAACCTGTTCCAGAGTTTCTCCATCAAGTGGGATTGGTTTGGTGTTCTTCGTGTTGTATTTGAGGATCTCGCTTTTTCCCTTGTGTATGTTGAGGTTGACTGATGCAGAGCCCACTGGTACACTACCTATCGTAACCTGCATTTGTTGGTATGTATGAAATAGAAGAGTTAGTTCATGTGAGAAGATCAAATCGTCTAGTTGCATGCAAGCTGTCCATTGTATTCCGTGCTTCCTTTCCTGAGATGTGTCGGTCTTCATAATCCAGTTGACCAGCAGAAGGATGAGAAAGTGGGAGAGTATGCAGTCTTGTCTGATACCGGTCCTAGTTTAAAATGCATCTGTCTTCTATGCATGACTTTACATTGTAGTTCGTTGTATGAATTCTGGGTGATGTTGGGGATCACAGGTACACCACAGTGTTGCAAAAAAGTTACACAAGGCTCTCCTATCCACACTATTAAACGCATTATAGTCAAGGAAGTTGATGTATAGTAACGAGTTCGGTTTAATTGTTTATTCAACAATGATCCGTAGTTTCGCGATATGGTCGGTACACAATCGATTCTTACGTAATCCCACCTGATGATTTCGAAGTTGGTCGTCAACTAAATCTTTCACTTGATTCAACAAAACTTGAGAACTTTTCCTCGTACTGATAATAGTGTGATGTAACTATAGTTCTTTCATTTGCAAAGGTCTCCTTAATTAAAATCATAATACTAAAAATTAGTATTCTAATTGGCTTTCCTGGTTACTTGTTGATATTTCATCTTAGTGTTTTCAAACTAAACAGTAAGATAGTTAATTTTTCGTTACCATTGGTTAGTGATACTATAATATGGGTGTAGCTTTATGTAAAATATATTTTAAGGATATGAGCTACCCAGAAAATGTGAATACTTCACATGATTCTTAAGTACCCTCTTGTTATTTTATTCGATGAAAGTATGTGTTGCTTTCGAATACAACATTTGCTACTTCATTATTGACTAACTAGAGTCAATATAACATCAACTTCAATAGTGTTAGAATAAAGATCTGTCAATTTGAAGGAACACAGTACAAAGAAACTGGCAACATAAAACACTAATATTGATTTTCAGCGATGATACCTGTTTGTTTTAAATCATTAGTTTTGTCGCCTCATAAAATCTCGTCAGTATGTCAACTGTTATTCAGATGACTCACAATAATAGTGATTAAGATCATCAATTATCATCATATCCTGATCTCGTTATCTCTTATAGTTTTTCCATCACGCTCATAATTCAACCAATTTCGTGCATGATAATACAAACACATTTACCAAACATTTACAGTTTACCAACCAGTCGACCGTTTCTGACAAACTTAATTGCCGGCTCTATAATTTTTAAATGCTACTTCAGCATTTTCTCACATATGATTAATTCAAATCACGTGAATACTACTTATATATATTGAATTCTCAGGGAATGACTTACAAGTTGTCGCATTTTACATCGTCTTAACGCTGAATTTCAATGATATTTCTTCAACTTCACTATTAGGCTTTACTTATTATTGTACGTTATCAGATAGAGAAAATATTGTCGGAGTTTGAGTAAAAATAACAATCCTGTAAAATAAATGTACTTTTCAATAATAATAGTATAAGTAGTTGTTGTATAGAAAAATTATTATATTCATTTCACTATCACATGCTGTTCATAATTTTAAAATAGTGATTTTTATTAATGCTTATTAATTTATCATTTATTCATCTTTATGGTACATAATGAAAAATGAATGAAAAACAATTTAAATTTTTATTAGAGATTTAATTTTTAGAATTGTTTTGATAATTTCAGTTTTGTCTTAGTGATTGTTAATTAAGACAACTAATTTTCAACTATTAGGTTGGAAGCAAAGATAGATGGTGGCTGGCAGTGGGATCCAGGACGCGCATCTCATCCTATTTGGTGCTCGTCAGCTGAATGCACCCGCATCCCAAAGTTGGTGCTCACTCCGGGACTCGAACCCAGCATCATTCGCTTCAAACGCCATAGCGTTATCCACTTAGCTTCTAAGTCCTGACAACCACTAGCTTGTGCAATGGGGTGAAGTTTAAATTTATTTTTGTTTGTAATGCTTGTGACTTAAGGCAGTATCGTGGCAATCCGTACAGGATGGACATATACTAATGAGAGACTGATCAATTACAGTCTTAAACATCAATGGGAAGATTCAAACAAACAATACAAAATGAATTTATTAGGTTGGAAGTTGTAAGCAATAATTCACTTACCATCTTCAGTACGAATATTCGAGGAGTATCAACGTCTCTCAAGTTACTAGCATTAATGATAACTGGGTTTATGAATATGCTTTTGGTTGTTAAATTACATTAAAGTTAATAAATTTAGATTTTTAAAAGAGCATTAGTAAAATCATATTTTTGTATATACATTCATATTATATTAGTTGTATTCAGTAATATACATACTTATAAATGAAACATAGTTCTTATCATAATCATTGACGGTTAAGTTATTCTTAACAGTCGTTCTTTTTATTCTAAAACTCATCTATATGTTTGTGATATATAGTTAAATTGTACTGATAGAGCTGAGTTTCTATAACGAAACATTTTATTCAGTGCACTGAATAGCCTAAACTAAACCAATGACATAATACATACAATCTTTCACTGTGATTCCTATTTATATCATTTTACAGCATTTGATAGAAGTGAAACCGAAAATATAATTGATTTAATCCACTTTTTGTTTGAAAGTTTATGATAATATTGCATTACATCAGTTTTATTTGAAAATTTATTTCAAAGAAGTTGTGATAACATATCACTATTCTTTTTTCATATCAACTATCTTTCTGGGTTAATAAACTATGTTTAATTGAGAGCAACACATATTTTGTTAACGGGTACTCAACATATGTCATACTGTCAAGCAACTCATTAACCTATGATCATGTTCTGTAATGAGTATAATATACACATCTCATATTGTATGATGGCTAGAAATACTATCGAGTTATTCAGATGAAAACCTGTCATTTATTGGTTGGAAAATTAAGTACCCGTAGATCCATCAAACTAAATTTAAAAACTGTGACCTTTAAAAAATCATTATTCCTGGTTTCAATGGATTTATCAGTGAGAAGAAACAGATTAATTATTTGGTCTATACAATTTAAAAATAATAAGAATTGGAAACTTTTTATTGAGACAAAGTTTGGTCATTTCTAAAAAAATCCTTCCATATATCCAAGTCATAAAATGGTTTAACCAATCTCTTTTGTGTAAGCATGAATTCGTAAAAATAATTTATACAATTATCCTAGGTATCTCAACAGTTTATATCAATAATAATAATTATTCTATCTATTTACTTGAACACGTAAATATTGGTACAAAATGACACCGAATAAATATGCGACACACAAGTCAATTGATTTGTGTGTGGGCTGTGATACTGCTCGGATACCCAAATTGAAGTGTGTGATATTACTGGGGGGTCACACCCGGAGCCTTTGACTTAAAGATCTGATCCACAAGGCGGTGGAGGAACGTCAGAAGATGTAGTCCCATAGTAGCCGGTCACCAACAATTGGTTCATACACCATTTGCTCCCTCAGGATCTTGGAGCCCATGTGCATCATAGAGCCCATTGTTGATATTGAGTACTGAAATTTGATCAGCTTTTGTTGGTATATGTGCGTCCTGATGAGATTGCCTGGATACAACCGTTATGACAAAAGTTTTTATATGATAGAAAAATTATGGCTAACCATAGAACCCAAGGTGCGTATTTCTTTTTATTTTGACTCGTCAGCTGGATGTATCCTCATCTCAGCTGACAGTTGTTATAAATCAGGTGTTCGTTGATGATTGATTCAGTGAATATCCACTAACAGTAATTTATTGGGGTCGGGTACCTATTTCCATAGACTTTTATATTACGACCTAAACTGTATGGAAGTGTTCGTCTAAGCTTTTTATTTTATCGTTTTTTAAAATTTTGCACAGGTCTAGTTACTTATGAGTAGTTAGGTTCTTATTTATGTATTTTTGAGTAGTGTTATATCTATCCTTCATCATAAGTTTATTTGATTTCAACTTTCTCTATAAAACGAAAAACCAAATCAGATCTCCAGTCTGACATACCTCCTGATGTTGGTAATAACTTAGAAGTTGCACAAGATCATTCTAACGAATCCGATCCAAGTTTAGGGTAAGTTTTTCATTTTGTCCTGTATTTCATATGATACATTCTGAAATGTAGCACATATAAGTATAATTCGTTCCAACTCAAGTATGAATGTAAAGTCCTATTTGTAGTTATGATATCCACCACGTTTCTAATTACTTGCTTTTAATTAGTTTTTTTGTATGTTATATAAATTCTATTTTTTTTCTAATTAATAGTATATGCTTGTCTATTTGGTTGCTTTACCACGTTTATTTAGCAACATGTTTTTTTTAAAAGATAAACTCTTAGAAAATTTATCATTCATGTATAAATGAAAACTTAGTAAAGTTGGTTTCGTCTCGGGGTTGATTTCGCTGAGCAATATACTCATTAAGAACTAGACGGTAGAGAGATTGCTTCACGGTAATTGCGTGGTTGTTTGTTACCTACAATCATAGGATATTTAGGACCTGTTAAAGATTTTGGTAAAGAATGAAAAGAGGGAGTTGCTATTGATGGTATAATTTGAAATTGGTGGAATTCAAACATCTTAATCACTAAAATTTGACTTAGTGGATTAAGATTGTTACTGCGATAAAGTTTGAATAAACTAGTTGATCATCACCTATTTTTAGCATAGCTTTTATGGGGATTATAGAATTTTCATAGTTTTAAATCACGAAATGATCTTAGATAAGCCTTCATTGAGAACTAGGAAGCACTGGACATTTGATTTTTAGTACAAAACTCTTCAGCAGTACGTATGACGATCCCACAGTAAGGAATCGGACTCAGGATCTTTGATCTCTCGCGCCAACGGCCACTAATCAAGTGTCTGATGGTGTTAACGTCTAACTTTAATCAAATCACGATATTGAACGTCAATCTTCGACTGCTTGCGGTAGAAAAAATGTTTCATATATGACAGTTGAGGTCCCCAAGTGACAACTCAAAGAAACTCTGTAGATAGTGAACAAGGGTTGCGCAATAACGTGATTTGATAGAAGCCAGACTTTAACACCTCTAGATGCCGACTCAGTAAGCTAGAGGTTAGGCGTTGAGGAATTGTGTTGTTTCTTATTTCAAATTCCCGTATTTATGTTATGCTTGCAGAATATGACTGATTTGATGTTGAGGACGGGATAAATTTCGATATCCAATATCGTGTAACATCGTTGCTGTATGGTAAATTTTTTTGTTAGCACATGAAACAGAGCTTTGCCGGCTGTTAAATCGTGGGTCCAAATTCTAATACATCTACTTTTTAATATAGACATCACGGTATCTTGGTGTCTAGAATTGTTCATTATTTTTCTTCATAAACATGCTATATGCTATGGAGTAAAAGTTTGGACATTAAACCCTATTATCTCTACATATAGCTCCACACTGTTATGGTAATCTTTTAATATTATGTTATTGTTGTATGGCTCTTTTCATTCTACTTTACTGTTTGATTTTTTTCTTCACGCTAGTGAAACTATGGAAAATAATGTTGAAAGCAATAACGTTATTCCTGATGTTATGCAAGTATGTCTATAACGTAAAGTGTATTTTCTCTCTCTTACTTCTTATTTTAACTATATTTTAATGCTATGACTTTTCATGCATCATTTTTCATACTATCATTTCATGTCTGTATCCACTAACCATTATATTTTGGATTGTGTTAGTTATTTTATAAGATTTTAAATTTCGGAAGTATACAAATAATCAACCCATAATGATTTATGCTAAATTTTCGTTATATTAACGTTCAGTAAAAGTAAATAAAATCTATCAAACTTCTCCATTACTTAAGTCAGTGTAGTTGGGATAATGCTATAGATAAGCTTTTAAAATTCAGCCAACAACCGAGTCAATAGTTCCTTGTGGATAAGAAAACGTTTTATCGTTCGTTTCTGCAGGTATCTATTAATGCTCTTAAGTATTGTTTATATAGCTCGAAAATTTCTATTTAAATTCCGTTGTGATTGTGTTCGTATCTAAATGGTTTATAATGTAACCAGTTTAGTTGAGATTGATAGAGTTCATTTTGTCTTGTAGAAGGTTGAAATGGTTTAGATAATTGATTATCTAAAGAATATGTATATACATATTTATATCGTGAACAAGGGGATTTCGAATGCTATTAAATAATTGTGGACAGTTGTCGTTTCCTAGTCACCTACATCGTGTATAGTTATTTCCTTTTGAGGCACCTGAAAAAGAGACTGAATTGGTAGCGATCACGGCAACCTGGGAGTGTCCTCTCAGAGCACAAAGAAGAACTGCTTGACACTGATCACACAACCTTTTCAGTAGCAGTTTTTATAAAGTAATTAGTCCCTTTTGTAAATTTAGGAGGAGACGGAGCTGATCTGGAAAATGTGATGTATTTGTGTTATACATTTCGAACCATCTGGTCATACATATACTTGTCAGGGCATTTTATATGAAGATTAATAAAGATCAATAAAATGAAAGTTCGAGTAAACAAGATTAGCTCTGCAATTTAACGGTCATACTGCTGGCGGCGGAAATTCATGTGGTAAGGTGAGGTGTGCTATTTCCAGGGTCGACCTTTTCTAATCCTTTCCTTTTGCCTGAGGGCAGAACCGATTTTGTTTAAGGAAATTATATGGTGCCTCCATACCCCTGTGTAGTCTGTACTAAGACTTCGCCCTTGGAAACTCGTTTGCTCCTTTTAATCTTACCGTTCTCGAGCAGATCTAGCTGGCATGTTGGGACCTAAAGTAGTGGACGTTCCAGCCATTATAAGTCGGTTCAATCATCATGGTAGACATCAAGGTAGTAACTACTGTCGGGTTGATGCGGAGAAAGGACGAAACCAATAAAATTAGAATGATACTAAAATGAACCGAAATAATAATAATAATAATAATAATAATAATAATAATAATAATAATAATAATAATGGATAGTACATAATAATGTGCAGGGATCACATCAGAGTATCTTTTTGTCATGAAGGTGACGTCGTGTTTCTTCACTATTTGTTATTTTTAAGTTGACATTTCGTCTTCGAGTTATATAATTTTTTTATTAGTAGCCTTCGAAAAATATGTTCATAATATAGATACTTGAAGATGCATAATATCTATTCACCTAATTATTTGAGCATACCCTTTTCTAGCCTTAATATTGAACAGTTCCGAATACACTTTAGCCTTCTTCAATGTTACTTCTGTCTAGATGGTTCATAATATTCAACGCATTGCTAAATATTCTTAATTCTGTTGAAGTGATTATTTTCAGAAGCTATAGTTGAAGTAAAACTTGTCAGTTGGTAGTTTTGTCGGATTATCAATACAAGCGTCTTGTGTTTTAACGAAGGATTATCACTCCAATATAAGTTTAATAATTATTGAAAACGAGGTTTGTAGTAAGTGTCACACATTTAAACGTGAAGTTTAGCCTGTTTTCTACTTTGTTTGATTATCCATAACCAAATGGAAGACATTTGTTCATACATAATGATTGTTCTATTTTGAAATAGTTTGTTAAGTTTGAATGTTGATCATCACTTCACTGTTACACTAGGACGTTTAGGTTTGCATCTAGTTAATCAGCTATCTTAGGAAGTATTGTGTAACTTTTTACAATTTTTTAGGGTAGAAATGAGTAATTTTTAAATTTATTGTTTTATTTATAAATCGTGAATTAAATAATGTCATGGAAAATTATAAATGTTCAGTTAAGAAAAGAGATACATTACTTACAGATATTATAAAAGTCTACATACTGCTTTAATTAAAATTATGGTTTTTTATACTATCATCTAAGTATGATTTTTTTGTAAATAATTGTTACAGTTAGATTGTTGAAATTCAATAATGTAGGATGTAGTTCACCTGGTATTGTTTTGGCTTGTATCTTCCCATTGAGGTTTAAGACTGCAATTGATCAGTCTGTTATTGGCATATGTGCATACTGTGCGTATGCCTCGATATTGCCTTAATTCACAAGCTCTTTGTAAGCAATGATGGATAGTGGGTGAACATCAACTCTGAGATGCAGGCACATCCAGGTCCATCCAACGCGATGGAGTTTGAAGCGAATGGTGCTGGATTCGAGTCCCAGAGTGAACATCAACTCTGAGATGCAGGTGCATCCAGCTGACGAGTCCCGAATATGACGAAGCGCGCATCCTGGATTCCACTGCTAGCCACTATCCATCATTGCTTATAAAAGTAGGATGTAGTTGTTTTCATTCTTTAACAGTGTTTTTTACTGAAGAGTAAGTTAATCTATTTGTTTACATTAAAGAAGGTGATATTTTCGCGTGATAAATGATTCCGCGAAAAAAGAACAACATGATATCATACTGATCTTCAAACAATGTAGTAAAGAAGTTTTTAAAAACGATGGAATTGAATTTCACATATTAATTAGATGATTATTTATTTAGTTTATAATTTTCTTAGTAATCTGTCATAGTTTATTTTTGTAACAACCTTAATTTTGCTTATCGTTGTAAAATAAAACCAATAATCGTTCATCGTCTCTAAAAGGAAATAATTGTATGGGTAACTTAAGTAACACAATTGTTTCATTTTCTAAACTATATTCAAGAAACGCTGATAATTGGAATAAGTATTTACAAAATAATACTTAAATTTATAATTAAGGTTCATTATTTGTATTTCAAATAATTCGGAAGCATTGCATTATTTGAACATCCTTAATTATGCCCACTCTTCCGTATGATTGTTGATAAATAGGCATATGAATTTTAAAGGAAATTGATCTTAAAGTATGCCTAATTTTATCAAAATATTTATATCGAATATTTTTCTAATGTAAGTAAACTTTGTCAGGTAGTTAGCAACAAATTTTGAACCTAGTTTTCATGCTATTAAGTTCTCTTCAGTAAGATGTATCTGTAATCTGGAGGGAAGTGATCTTCCCCGGAGGGATCCGAACCCGCGCCACTCAGCTTCATAGTCTGAGATATCACGACTTGATTACTCAGGCTGTTACTGTACCCGGTAGTTTAAGTGAATCGATGTCTCACTCATTATATTGAGACGTTAAATGGTTGGAGGAAGATAACAGGAAGCCTGATCAACACTGAAGGATTGGGTATTTGTAAAATTAGTCACTACTCAGTGACAAATTAGTTGTTCATAAGCTTTCAATACGTAATAAACGAAATAGGTTTAGTTATTCATTCTACAGAAATCCCCCGATTACCTTTCACTAGTTTCGTGTAAATATAACAATAAGGGACTCAACAAACATTCTTCTGGAAACAAAAAGTTTAACTAAAAGACAGCGAATAAAGCCAGTGAGAATTTCGTGTTGATTAATGTTTGTTAAATACACTGAGTAGTTTTATATTTCATAACTATTCTTTTTTGTAATATAAATAGCTGGTCATGATTTCCTAAGATACCAAAAATATTTCTAGTAATTTTTGGCTTTTATCACAGATATCTATTAGTTTGGACGAATATAAAGACAGAAAGTTCACAGTTGTTGTGTTGTTTACGTAGAATTACCTATCGTTGTAATATATACAATGACTTCTGCTTATTGTCAATAATTTAACCAATCGTAGTTTTAAATTGTTTATTAATAAAACAATGGATTTATTGTCTTATGATTAGATCTGATTGGAAGAAAGTGTTTTGTTCATTCTGACTTTAAATAAACCTGATATTATTTATAAATGAGCACCTCTAACATAAATATGAGATTATTGTATAAAGAATCGATTATTTCTATTTTCAAGTGGGAGAAACTGTCCTATTTATTATAAGTGTTGTTTTATATACAGTCATAAAGTTTATTAGTGGTGAGTCGGTTTGTGTATTCTTTAGTTATTAAGTAAAATTAGATTTCGGTGTAATTTTATATTTTATAATTCATAAGTTTATCATAAACTAATCAGAAAGAATTTTACAATTCAAACAACGGTCAAATCCACTTGTTAATCAGATGGAATACTCAACATGGATTATCTACACTGACCTTTAAAGATCTGTCAAACATACTGAGGTGGTAATTTTATCTAGTTGAACGAATGCATTGTAACAGTGTTAGCTCATACGATACCATGTGATTTAGATTACAGTGTCACATCAGCTGATAGAATATGGAAATATCAGTTATCTACTGCTAAGTTTTGGCAATATTCGAAATTCTCCTTGAACATAAAGTATTTGTAGTTTTACGTTACTTACTTACTTACTTACGCCTGTTACTCCCAATGGAGCATAGGTCGCCGACCAGCATTCTCCAACCCACTCTGTCCTGGGCCTTCTTTTCTAGTTCCATCCAATTCTTGTTCATTTTTCTTATGTCTATCTCCATTTTCCGGTGTAATGTGTTCTTTGATCCTCCTCTTTTCCTTTGGTCATGAGGATTCCATGTGAGAGCTTGTCTTGAGACGCAGATCGGTGCTTTCCTCAATGTGTGTCCTATCCACTTCCAGCGCTTCTTCCTGATTTCTTCCTCCGCTGGGGTTAGCGACCCCATCCCGTAGAAAACTAACTCGCAAAAAAAGCGCTAACCAGAAAAAATTT